GAACACTATCTATTATATTGTTCTTTTTAAAAGACAAAGACAATGTGAATTATCTAATAATATAAAAATGTTCAATTATTATCTTATTTCCTGTAATATAATTCTAATGAAAGATGTTTTAATAAATAAATAAAATATTTTCTGAGCATTATGTATTGCAATAAATACATGATAAAAAAACACGTTCTATATCATCTAATTAATTACTTAATATCGAATAAGTACATATAGTGATAGATGTGCATATATAATTCAATGTTTATTTCAACTTTCTACTTAATAATTTTTTTTTATACATATATATTGTCATGACATATAGACAAGTAATGTCATGTAAGATATAATAATAATCTTACATTTTAATGCTTGCCTACCGATAACATTAATTGTATTAGTCTACTTGAAACTTTTTATAGAAGTTAGGAAGATATCTGCATTCATTTATAAAAATGTTATATTAAATTTAATTCAATGAATATTTGGAATATTACACATAAAAGTTGAAGAAAATTATAGTTATTACAAGAATATTTATAACTATTATATTCTTTTTGTTCTGAACACATCGACACTGATTATGCATATAAGAAGATATAATTAATTATTTATTATATGTTATTTATATATAATATAGGCTTTCTTTCTTTCTTTTTAATCAATTTTATTTAGGATTAGTGAGATTTTAATTAACAGCTCAAATAATAAAAATTCCAATTGTACGGTAATAACTTTGTTAAATAAAAATGACTATATTTTTGGTACATATATTTTACAGCGCAGATACCTTTTCATTAATAACATATTTTTAAAGAATACTAATATATTTAGTATTCTAATATGTCATAGAAAATTCTTTATTTCTTTAACTAATCACATTCTTAAATATTTGTAATTTAGATGTAATATAATGATTTGATGAATAGGGTTCGTGTCCCAATGTGGACAATCAAAGCCCAAATTATCTATAATTTTTTTTCTTTCATAAGAATTGGTAATTTACAATGGTGTATTAATTTCTCTTCCTACAATCATCTGACAAATATATTATAACACATCTTTTTTAAAAAAATAGATGTCTTTAAACCTTTTTTTTTAGTTTTTAAATAGACATTTAACATAATATATGTAATTTGGAAAGTTTAATTATTTTGTTTTCTAATACTCTTTTTAAATAACAATGTGAAATATATTTAAATTACAATGGTGTTGTTTTTTTGTTTGTTTTATAATTAAAGACATCATTTTAAGTACTTAACATGCTAATATCAGATATATATATAATATTACATTTTGTAGAAGCAGAAGTAGATATAAAAATTTTGCTGCTTAAATTAATACAAAATTAGCACTTATATAGTTATTAAATTTTATACTTTATAAAAAAGACTGGAAGATATTGAGTGTAGTCTTATGTTTGGCTGTTTCTTATGAGAAGATAATTGTTTAATATGGATATAAATATATATAAGTCTACTCTCTTTTTAGAATACTTTTTTTAAATAAATAAAAATCTGTACAATAAAGGTCATGTGAAAAACTGAAACAATATAGAGAGAAATTTTGAAACGCTAATAAAAATTTAAATCAAAAAGAAGTTTGCATATAATAAATTATATATTCTTGTATAATAACATTTATAAATTTATTTTTAATTTAGATAAATATATATATATATTATTAAAGAACAAGTTAGATCCTACCGTATACATAAAAAGCAAAAAGAGATTACTCTCAGTTCTGCACAAGACCATTGTGCTCATAAATTAATGATTAAAATTATATAAGCGAAAGAAATAAAATTATGAACTAATTAATAGTATAAATACAAAAATGATAGTTTATGTACAAATTAAAGAATAGTCAAAAATTTAACTATAATATACATTATCACTATAACTTTTTTAAGTACATATTTAATCATTCCAAAATAGGATAACATTTCTAAAATTGATCTTATGTAACATTTTAAAATACTATTATTAATAACATACATTACAGAAAATGCAATGCTTCTTCAGGAATCCCAATAAGGGTAATTAAGTATATATAAAAGTATATTTTTAATATCATATGAAATTTGATCTATGAAAAATCTAAGAACTAAAATACAGATCAATGCAATTAAAATTTGATCTTTAAAAACAAAGAAGAAAAAAAAACAATATGAATAGATAGATATATTTACCATGTGTGTTCAAGGAACATTTAGTTTAGTGATGTGTAACTTTATCTCCTTATATATGTACATTTTACATAACAGTACAACAACTCTTTTCTGAGTGGTTATCACCAATAATTTCACTTGTGTTTCCAGTAAATCGTTGAAAGTCACTTGTGCCCAAATCAGAGTTGGATATAGATGAGACTGGTACAACTGGAAAACCATTTCCATTAGTATCCACGGAACCACTTGATATATGTCGATTTTGCGCCCTCTTCTTTTTCAAATCTGATAGAGATTTGACAAAAACTACAGACACGTGTATGTTGATCTTTCCATTGGTATCATCTGTCGAGTAAATAGGTTGCTGGCTGCCAACTGGTACGTCAGGTCCTGTCACTGCTGAGGCAAATAGGTAAATCCAGTGCTATTTTCCTTCAAGCTCAACTTCTTTTCGTTGTAAATCCATTTTGCGATCCCTTCACCTAACCCCTTATATGCTATGCACTGATTATGGTTGGAAATGATGTTTTCAACTATTCTCATGCATTAAGCATGACATGCTTGAGCGTAAGCATTTAACATCGCATAAATAAGTACCATATCACCAGTGTGCATATACAGAGTATTATATAGCATGTTGCAGATCGAAGTCTTTTATTTTTTTTTAAGTCAATGTGTATATGAATATATAGAATATAATTATTATCTATCAAATCCAAAAAAGGAACTAGATTTTGTTATTATTTCTTTCAATTCTATGTCTCTACGTATAATAATGACTCTATTACAATAATAACATACTATTAACGAAATGTCATTATTATAAAAGTTCAATATTACTAAAGCAACTTTACTGCATTTTAACAAGCTACTATAATTTAACAATGTAGCTATATGCTAGCTCGTAGTAGACTGAATAGTATTGAGATCAAATATTAATTATAATAATATCTCTTTTATGAGATGTTTATTTACATATAACAAACTCTTATTATCAATTTGCAACAAGATCTGCAAATATGTTTTATATCACCAAACACTATAACTGATATGTTTATTAAATTGACTAATATGATTCTATTCAATACTATTCATCTATTTCTTAATAATCTTAAAAGATGATAAGATACAGTAAGGTGCTTATCAAGCACCAATTATATACATAAAATATATAGAAAGTTCATGATAAATGTAGAATTACATAAAAGCTCATAAAATTGTAATATAATAATCATGCTGTTCTACTACACCGTAGGCCATCAATTATTTGGTATATTTTGTGTTAAATTAATAATGTAATAAATGATGATAATCCTCTAAATGTATATGTAATCTATAAATTCCTAACGAGTATAGTTTTTATTGATTTCTACAAAGTAATGAGACTATCTTCCTTTTCATTGCGTTTTTAATAGTTATTATAAAATTTTTTTAGAAATTTCTGTTATTCTCAAGTTGAAAAATCTATCCAAACACATGGGAAGAACTTTATATTTGACAAAAGATCATAATTATTGAATTATCAAACTTTTTAAAATAAATATTTAATAAGTATAAGCCAAGCAAATGTATTATCCCAGTGAAGTGATTTAGCACAAGTAAAGAACTTCTATAGAACACTTGAACCATATTGGTAAACAAATGTACTGAATATGTTGTATAAATATAAATTATATATATAAATATATATATGTATGATTGCAATGTATATACGAGGTTTTAAAAAATCAATTAAAATACTTTGCTCAAAAAAGTGATTAAAGAAATAGGAAAGTGACATAGAAAACTAACCTCAGAATTAGTCAGGAGCACGCAGTAATGAAAAAGAGAAAAGCAGGTAAATGACAGGTAACTAACATATTTGGACCACATATTTGGATTATACGTAGAGCTCATAAACTATACGTAGAGTTTTCTATTTATATAATCACAATTTTTAAATTATGTTAATTAACATAGACTTGAAATAAATTTCATTTTTAGAAATTTAATTATTGTCATTTATATATTCAAATTAAATCCAATGAGATAATCATTGGATTATAACACAACTTAAATTTAAAAAATTATTGACTGAAATAATCGGACGGAGAAAGAGAGAGATGCAATATTTCTTAATATACATACATAACATCATCTTATTTTGTACATTATAAAAGATCATAGTTATGTGTGAATATTAATATCATGGTATACAAAAAAAATGTTCATTTTTATGATTTTTGGGATAAAGCTACCATTTACACAGTATTCTACAAAACCACAACCAATACAAGCATAAAAAGAATTGGAATGTACCTGAATCTTTATCAACATCTTCATGTAGAAAAGAATCATTGTCCTTTCCTTCAGGTCCCTTGCGTACAGCAGGGGTCAATGTACTTGAATCAGTTTCATTATTTACCATGTCTTGCGTATTTGTGCTGTTTTCTGTTTGTGGAAGATTAGGAGTTGGAATACTAACATACGTCTAAAATAAATCAAATTAAAAGTTGGTAGTTTATAATTAAAGATTTACTGTAATATATATTCATTATTTAATTAAATCATTTTACCTGTTGTGCTTGTAATCTCAGTCTTGCTTCCTCTTGTGCATCTTTCTTTGTTGTAAGAACTTTATCTCTGATTGATGTTCGTCTTACACTTTGAGTACGTGTATTTATACTTTGTGATCTTCGTACCCGTCGTCCTTGTGCTTCTCGCAATCGTTTACTTTCTTGTTCCGTTTTAAGTTCAACTATGCGTTCTCTAATTTCAGGGTCCTCACAAATATCTATAGTTCATTATTTATGTTATCATCAAAAGTTTTTATATCAAACTATTCAAAGGAGATAAAAATATAATTTCTTCTAATTATTCTTAAAATAAGTCTTTACCAGCAGGAGTTTCATCGTGTTTATTTCGTGCATTTAAATCGGCCCCATTTTGCACCAACAGTTCTAGAACTTCTAACTGTAATTTTTTAATATTGATTTTTAAAAATTCGAATATATTAAATACAGAATAGTAATATATTTACTTACATGGCCCCAACATGCTGCTGCATGAACAGGTTGCCATTTATCATTGTCTTCTATATCCGTAGAAATGTGTTGATCAAGAAGATATTCGACTACCCTTAAATAACCATTTGCTGATGCTATGTGAAGCTATAAATATTATATCATAAGATATATATATTCAATAATATAAAATTATATTTTGTATTATAAACAAATTTAAACGTACAGGTGTAGCGCCTTGATGATCCTTATATTCAAGATCTCCACCTATGGAAACAATTTTTTGCAAATCTTTCAACATTTGAACTTCTGTTGATGCTCTAGTTTCATCTATTAATTCCTGTGTAACGCCTCGTCTAGCCATTTCGCCTATAATGGAAATAACATAACAAAAAAATTCGAATCAAATCAAAAAATAGGAAACCAACCTTCTATACAATCTAATGTTTTTTCATCCTCGCAAATGTCATAAGGCATATTTCCATCAGCATTAACAGCCAGTAAATTTGCACCTCTAGCTATTAGGTATCTTACAAGATGTAAATGACCGCAAGTAGCAGCAGCATGTAATGGAGTCCACTTTTCGCTGTCTTCAGCATTCACATTAGCACCAAATTCAACGAGTAACTTCATCATTTCTTCATTGTCATCTATACAGCATTGATGCAATGCAGTTAATCCGTCTTCATTAGTTGAATCAGGATTGACTCCCTTTTTTAACAGTCTTCTAACTAAAAATACATTTATCATTAATTCAAAAAATCTAAAAATAATAGAAAATAAATATAATTTAATACTGCAATTCCATTCTGTACACACTATTATTGTTACCTTCATCTATATCATTTCTGGCAGCAGCTTCTAGTAACATGACACTATCACTAAAATATATATGACGCTTGTTGCTTGTATGTCTGGTTTGATGTCGAAGCCATTCTTTTTCACGCTGACGCCACACTTTTAATTGCTGAAGTCTTCTATGTCGTGCAAGGTGTAGTCGTTCTTGTGTAGTAAGCCTTTCAACACGAACCATATCTGCTACTAAGTCTGCGTGCTCCATTGTTATGTGTTTGTAGTTCTTACAGCTGTACTTTCCTGCTAAACAAACATATTTCATTGTTTTTAAGACCATAATACAATAATGTAATATTTTAAGCCTATCTTGCAACTTGTATAATAATTATTAGTTATTTATTTTGAATAAATTTTGATTGTGGTTACTATTTAAATTTACCATTGTGTTTATAGCACAACGATTTCATTTTAAAATACTTGAAAATTTTCGAATAAGTACTAATCATCATTTTAAAATAATACAGAGAATTAATTGTTTTAATAATATACATATAACTTGAACAATGTAATATTTTTGATTGACTGTTAAAGAATTCGTTATATGTTTCAGCTTGGTGCCAGAATAAACTTATCAATTACTTAGGCAGATAAAACGTATATTTGTACAAATGTTTCAGCACACATACAAAAATATCTCTCTGAACGAGTGGAAATAATTTGATATCTGTATGGTTTTCTGCGAAATTATAAATAAGATATATTTCCAATAAAAATCATATCAGTTAAACAAAGATAAAAATATTCATTTAACAAATCAGTGAAGCATAAAGTTTAATTTCGTTATATTATTAAAAATAATATTATATATAAAAGAAAATATACTATGACATATGGAGAAGGTAATCAAAATATACATAACATGTTAATTATTCTTGTAAAATAATATGCTAATATATACATTCTACTTGACAACTTTATTATAATGATTAAAATAAATAGACTCAAGTGTTAGAATGAAAATTTTAAGATCAGATAAAAAAAAAAGATATCATAGAATATTTAAATTTTCACTACGATTCAAATAATGTTAAATAAATCTTTTATGAAATATATTGAAAGTGTTATAGAATTTAAGTCAAAAAATATAAATAATTCATTACATTAAAGTTTCCAACAAAAAAATCATACCATATATGAAAATTAGATTAGAAATAACATATGTACTGATATACAATATAATAAAAAGACGAGAAAAATAATCACTTAACTGAATCTGAAGTGGAATAATAAGAGAGAGGGAGTTGAATAATTGAGTCTCTTATCTCATTAGAGAAAATGAAAACTGGCGAACGAATGTGTGAACGATAAAGAGCTAATCTCACATAACAGGTAGAATACATATAGAACCAAAATTGGAACGTTCAATTTCTTTGTACAGAAAAGGAAATTTTTAAAAATTACTTGATGGTTTCCCTTAATTAAAAAAAAAAAAAAGTATATTCGAACGAAAGAAAAAATTGTGATAGGTCAGTTGGGACCGAAAAATCAAATAAATCGTTTATGTTATCGTCATAGAATTTTGTAGACAGTCATGAAAAATCGTATTGTCAATTTTTGACTCTCGTGAATAAACGAAGGTCGATTTAAAAAAAAAGAAATAAGAAAAGAAAAAGAAACGTGTATATGCATCGGCTCAACATACTCGACGTAGACGACGTAGACAACGGGCCGGTTTACCTTTACGCACCTGCATGCACACGGCAACTCAAAGGGGACTTTTCTCCTCCTCCTTCTCCTCTTCCTCCACTGCCACCTCTTCCACCTCCTCTTCCTCCTCCTCTGTCTCCACCACTTCCTTTTTTGTTACTCTTTCGTGCAGCCACCAAGCTACTAACTACGTTCGATATCACACAACGAAAAAAACTCGGTGGCTTTTCAACCGGTGAAAATACATTTTTATCATCATCATGACCACTATCACTACTTTACTCTTTCTTTTTTATTTTACACCGAGTTGAAGAAATTTTAGAATTCCACGCTGGCAAAAGGAAAATAGATAAAGACTATCACAGGATATAATAGTGATAAAAATAATAATAAGTTAAATTTATTAATGAATACACTTTAGTGATTATTCCGTTTTGTTTTTAATTTACAACAAGGTTATCTTCTTATTGTTAGTTAGTATCTTTCGTTGGTGACAGTTCGCATTTAAAATCGTTCACTCGCTCGAGTTACGTTTTACCTGTCCGCCGCCATTTTTAAACTACCTGTAGACTTTAGTTCGCGCGCCACCCTTCACTCGATTTATTTCTTACACTTTCTTTATTTTAAATTCGGCGCGCTTATCGATATACGAACTAGCTGAGAAACTATCGACGAATTATATTATTTTCTATCTTAGAAACGTAACTATTGGAGGAGGGGAGGTAAGAAATAACTTTATTACTTTCTAACGATTCATTTCTACGCGCATATTTAGTATCTTACTTGTGTTTAGAATATTCTAATATTTATTTGTATAGTTTAGTTAAAGATTTTAATATATTTATCGAAGAGATATCGAATCGACCAAGCGGCAACTTTGTTGTTCATTTATCTTTTTAAATCGAGGTAATGTTTTATAGTATAAATTTCATCGATAATTCTTTTTGAAGATTTCATTTATAAGGTTAATACAAGATTTTCAATATCACAGAGTTAAGTACCTACGATTTATTTTTTACCGTCTTTTATATTAATTAATTAAAAGTTTAAATATTAATTAATATTGTAAGGTATAATTCATCTTTCAATTTAATTTCATTTAAATTACTCGATATAACACGATGAATAGTCCGAAGTTTACTCGATCGAGTGAGTTAGATTCACGGTATTTATAACTTATATTTCATTAATATTAAAATATTTTATATTTCTTTAGAATCATGGCATCGGTGAAAAAAGAAAAAGAAGAAGAAGATACTAAGTTATCAACGAAAATCATTAATCAAGGAGAAATGAAAATTCACCTGGCTGTGTGCGCTGGAATTTTCGCTACCTGCGGCAGCTTGTTCGGTAAGCTGTCCGGTGGCGCTGAATTCGTTTTCTTGGTAAGTAGCGCGAAATTTGACTACGTTAAATAAAAATAATTTCTATTAATATATATTTTTTAAGCTAATATATTTTTCCAATTAACGCGTTACTAAATTCGAATTACTTATACGTATATTATAGATTAAATTAAGTACAAAATAAAATAAAATAAAATAAAATTAAATTAAATTAAATGAATAAAAAGAAAATTTGTCTGATAAAAGATACCGATGCTATTAAAAACAAGTCTCCTCGTGCTCATGGTCGTTAGTAACACAATAGGCTGCACGTTATTCGTAAAAGCTCTGAACGGAAGTGAATCTTCTTTACCTGCTACGGTTGCCAGCACAGCGACGAATTATGTTTGTTCGGTGAGTAACCAATGTATTTGCTGTTTACGTATGAGAACTGTTAGCGCGAATATAATCAGACAACGTTGCACGCTAATAAAGTATTTCCTTCGCGAAAGTATTCTAAGTAATAAGACAAAAATAAATTCTTTAAATACCATCAACACTAATTCCTTTGCAATAGCATACATACTTACTTCCCTTCTCTCTTTTTTGTATTTCCGTCGATAACGGTAAACGTTCTATCAATACCATCGCACACTTATCTGTACATCGAGTAGAGTCTCACGAGCCTCTCTTAAAGGCTCTTTGATTTTTTACACGTTCTACCCTCGACTAGTGCTTTCCATTCGTATATGCTAACGATTTCATTGGGTACTCTTCAAATAAAAAACTTACCTCAATCCTCCTCACATTCAAACTACAGATTTTAATTTAAAATCAAATCTCGTTTAAAAATAAACGATATATGCACAATTTCTTTTTCACATATTCAAACAAGATTATCTTTAATTATAAAAAGTATGTATAGATAAGGAACTCTATAGTATGAAAAAATTATAATTATCTTATAATTACTTCTTTCGTGTTTTTTAATTTCATTCACTGTTTCCTATACGAGACTAAATTTTAGTTCACCGTTACCATATTAACAATTACAAAATTATGAAATACTAATCACTGAACCGTATCGCGCTAACTCTTGCACGCTATATATCACTATTCAATGTATTAGTTTGTTCGAATGAATTCATTGGGCTTACATTAGGGCGTCGTTTGCCAATATGTTTTCCCAGAAGTAGCTAGCAGGCAATAGTGAAAGGTATTCCGCAAGGTAGACGTAGGTATTACCGATCTACGAGAGAGTCGGTATAATACGTTCGTGGCAATTACCGTAGATCTGATAATACAACGATACTTCTACGCGAGTACGAAGTACACCTCGTAATTCTCGATCGAGAGACATGTTGTACATAACTCGTTAAACTCTCTTTGAAAACGATGCTCACGTGAAGCGTCGACGAGTTGCCTGTTGCATAATAACGGCATGCGGAATATGCGTTAGGCGATTACAAAGCTACACATTAGGTATATAACACATACACCCGGAAATATTCGATAATCAATTTCTCGCATACCTTTTCGTAATCACCAAATATAAACGATATCAAGATAAAAAAAAACATAAAAATAAATAAAAAATTAAAATCTAGATCATTAATAAACGATTAGAATGTTGCACATTATACACCAAACATTCGGGCATAAATTTGTTACATACTATTTCATAATTACTACATATAAATAATGTCGAGACAAAAAATAAACATAAAGATAAATGAAAAAATTCAACTTACGATGATTAATCCTTAAAAGTTTCCTTTTGGGTATCATATTTACTTATTCACTATTCCAAATGTTTTCTTTTAATTTCCTAGGCTTTCCTCGGTTTTCTGATATTCGGTGAATCGACCTCCTTAACTTGGTGGTCTGGTGCATCCTTGGTAATCCTCGGCTTGATTCTCATCTGCTACACACCAACCAAAGAAGAAGACTCTACCAGCCAACAGCGGAAGCTCAAACAGCAATAATTTACAACAGCCATTTTTCTAGCCGATCTTTTTGTAAGAGGAACAACGAGAATTGGTGACTCAGATTGTTACTCAGGTATACCTAAGTCGTTTAAATGTAATTTCTTATTCTTCTTCTTCTTCTTTTTACTCATTTTTTACTTACATAAATGTGCACAAATAGTGCAGACATAATACATCTTTATATTAAATTATCAACAGGATATTTTATTTGATTTAATAATTTAAATTTTATTCAATAAAATACATAAGAATTATATAATAAAATTGAGTAGAAAAACTTAGTTTTTTTTGCTGTTGAACATATTGATCGTATATAATAAACAATAATCTAAATTGTATCTGATATATATATATATGTAAGAATATAATATAAAACGTAATTTAATGAAGAATGGAATAGGAAAACATATTCTTTCACTTAGAAATTATTTCATTACCGCGTCTGGGTCGCTCGTTGAACGTGTTGACCCTATACGATATAGGAAAAAAAAAAACGAAAAAAAAGAGAGAAAGACCATTAATTCCCCTGCGGCAAAATGCCATCATCATCGTAGGATTTGCGTAACCCGTTACGCGTTCACGCACAAATACACAAGGGACAGTTCGCTTATCAGAACGGTGGTGCATCCATCCATCCACGATGATTTTGTCTCACGTGCCAAGAGACAATAATGAAGGTATTACGAGAGGAAACATAAGGTGGGTAGAGGGACGGACGAGGAGGAGGATAAAAGATGGAATAAAGAATAGTGATCGAAAAGCGTGCACGTTTGAGCTTATTAGTCTTTATATCCTATAAACGAATTAAAAAGAAGAATTGATCTTGCCTTGATCATTTATTGTGTTACCTTCTCGGTAACATTATTTGCATAAGAATGCCGGGTTGGTAATGTGTATTAGTAATTGCATTCGCAGATATTTTTACGAATTCTGTCACGCCTCCTCGAAACTTGTTTATCATGACGCATATTGAACGACCAACTGAAAACCTACCACGTTAATCTCACCTTCGTAAATGTTAGTTTGTAAATTAAAGTTATTAATAATGCTGACTATAATGGATGGAATGATCTCTTGGTTCTTTTCTTCTTTCTTTTTTTTTCTTTTTTTTTAAATTATCGTCAATAATATTGATCGATTTTTTGTTGTTAACTTAATGCTAATAATAATGTTTAAATATTAAATGTATCCGTTGATTACGAAGACTGTATGTGATATTTTGGTTTTATTCGTAATTTATCATTGACATTGATTGTGGCTTTTTATTTTTCGTAAAAATGGTTAGAGATTTTTGATGCGGAAGGAATATGATTAACATGTGCTTGTGAATTCATGATAAAATATGTTATTTTATTAACGATCAGTTAGGGATAATAACGTAAGAATAATAATCATAGGTTTATTGTTATGTACGGATGCGGTCACGTAATTCTTAAAATCTAATAGAACAGACGCGGTCTTTTTGTGGATGAAATGCGCAGAAAGAAGAATCACGAGGAATGACTGAGTTTTAAAGAGTGACAGAGTGAAAATGAGTTAGAGAAAGAGGGAACGAGTTTAGAAGCATATGAAGAGGCGCTTGTTTTAGCACAGTAAAGTGGGTCTCCGTGCTTCTAGTGCTACCGGATAGAAGTTGAGGAAGAAGAGTAAGAGGAGGAAGAAAAGAAGGAAGAGGAAGAGAAAAAAAATTAAAAGAGGAGGTGTGTGAGAGAGAGAGAGAGAGAGAGAGAGGAAAGAAAGAAGAAAAGAAATGCACTTTTATGAGAGTATTCTCTGCCTCTCAACGAATTTCATACATCTACATATATACATGTTATATACCTATCGCATCGCTTTCACCGTAGAGAGAAGCGTAAGAGTAATATTTATGCCGCTTTGAATCAAACGATCTTTTTGTTCGTTTCTAGGAATTCATCTACGATTAGAAAGAAAAAAAAAAAAAAAAAAAGAAAAAAAGGAAAGAAAGAAGAGTCAGTCCGTCAAAAGATTAAACGGATATCCAACCGACAAATGTATATACATATATATTCTCTCTTAAAGGACGCTTTTCATCGATAAGAATTCATCTGAAAATATATAGAAATGAAGGAATACATAAATGAGAAACCCATTTGTTCCGTCATTACCTTACCAACTAGCAAAAGTATGTAATAAAAATATAAAACGGAAGAAGCATACAAATATTCGTATGGATTATAAAGAAAAAGAACAAAAATATATATATCAATATAAAATGAAAGAGAAAAGAAAAAAGAAAAAAAAGATAAACCGAGTAGAAGAGGATGTAGTGAACGTTCATTCAGAGGTTGCGAGAGTATAGCGACCGTTCCATTTTATATCAGCATTCCATTACTCGACGAACGTAGCCCAGTTAACTGTATTCGTCGACTGGCCCTAGTAGACCAGATTTACGGTTTGTGGGGCAGGGTCGGGGGTAGTATAGAAAATGACGACGAGGACGATGGTGAGGCGGTAAGGGTGGTGGTGGTGGTGATGATGATGGTAGAGGAGGATTTGCAAAGGTGGGGATAGTTCTTTATCGAGCGGCGCCTGCGCGAGGCAAACCCGAGCTACAACGATGTACGTTGGATAGTTCGTCCCGTTCTCGAGCGCTCCACCCCTAAGTTTCTTCGCACATTATACACAACCCCTACCTTCCCTTCCTCTCTCCACCTGTTCGGTATGCCGATCCACGGCTTTCCGACCTACCACATAACCACCGGAGATACAGACCAAACTCCGACACAACATGAACATTCTTCCCGACCAGTACCTACCTTAATAAGTTTTCTTATTTTCCATTATAAGAGATATTATATCATAATCATTTCATTCGTTCGAGGGTTCGTTAAATCTTGATTTTATTATTACTTTTATTTGATCAGTCACCGTCCTTTACTGTTTATCCATAAATTCAAGTTTCTTAATATTGTTGAAGAAATCTTTTTTTTTTAATATTAATATTTTTATATATATATAATCTCTCCTTTGAGAATGATTAATTTGATATTAAAGAATATTTGATGACTTTCATTGAGTATTCCGATCAGAATATCCTCTGACAATCGTTTACTCCAATTTCTTTTATTTCTTTTAACTCGTTCAAGGTAAATTAGAAAGGACGTGGATAAAATGTGAATTCGTTTTTCGTTACCTTCTCTTTCTCTTCTTTCTCATCCTTATCTTCCTCCCCCACCACGTGGCCCTTGCCGTTGCCCCTTCACGGTTTGATGTTTCCCCTTCTACTGATTTTCTCTCTCTCTCTCTCTCACTCGCTCTCACGTACATTCGCAGACGTCTTTCCGTCTGTGCTCCCACCCTGACAGTGTCCCTGTATCCTCGCAACACTCCTTCCTCATACGGTGGTGAACGGGACAGTTTTCGCACGACGCGCCCTTTCATCAAAGCCACACAGCAGCCGACGACGATCAAAGGAAGAAAGTTACGGAACAAACTAAGCAAATAAGAAAAACATTTCTAATCGTCCTACACATCAAACGTCGATTAGTGACAGGAATCGTGTGTTTTCTCGGTAATTGAGTATCCGTTATCGTGACAACGAGATGTGATATTAAAGGATGATCCTCGCTAACTATATGACTGGAAAAGAAATTCTTATGGATTGGTGAATACCAAGATTAATGATGAACACTTTTACTTTTTGTTCGTTCTTATATTTTTAATTTTTTTTCTTATACTTTTATTTTGAAATTTTCAATAGCTTGTTCAAAAGGAAAGCATGATTTTGTGCATCTATATTTAGTGATTGAAATTATTTGTGATAGAATTCCTCTCCGTTATATTTTTCTTATCTAACATTAATCACATCGGATCACGTCAGTGGGGTGATTTTTATTAAATGTTTCAAGCTTATCGATAAGGATAATGATTCCGTCGTGTTTCACGTTATCGTGACAAGGAACAGGGATTCCTACTTGATAGATAAAATAAGTAATGACGTGTGAAAACTGTTTGAAGAAATCGGATGGGGTTGAAATTGTTCCTTGAAATTTGATTATTTGGGATAAAACTAATTTGAAAATAACGTTTGTTATATTTTTGTATTTATAATTCAGTTTATTAAAGGCACGTCGTCGAATATCCAATGGGGTTGTTGTTACGTCTATTAAATCGTCATGGTTAAAGTGTGTATCGTTGTCACCGATTATTAACATGTACATAGTAACGCTCAATTATCACCACAATATACGATTGTCATGTATATTAGAACTGACACTACGTGGTAACTACTGATTATCACGCTACGAATAATCTGACACTGAACTAGCTAATTCGTATTGTATGTTTATCGTTAAATTATTGATAAGAAATTGATATTTCGATTAGGAAAAATAGAAATGGCAATTGGAAATCATTATAATGTCTAGAGATTTTTTTTTCAAACCGTTAGACTCTTTAAAAATCGTCTTGTTTGCACGCGACTTGTCACTTTCAAGAAACATTGAATATATACGCTGGATTATTAGCATCATTGAGTTTATTTTTTACTGTTTATGTGATCGCGAACGTCTGTATAAAAATAGAAACAAATTCATTTATATATTTGAAAATAATTGTTATTAATGATATATTTTCGTTAGATTTGAATTATGCACTCCAGTTACTTTTTCACGAAAAAAGAAAAAGATAAAAGTAAAGAATAAAAAGGTGGAATTTAAATTTTCAGTTAATGAAAAAATGATATCATTGTATGTGAGGATTGAATGTGTAACCACTTGTATGCTGTCCTATAAAAGTTTGAGTCATCTCACGCTGCGGTTTTTCACATTAAGGTCGCATAATTAATTTTATTTGGTATCGAGCTTATACGAAGATTCGTTATAAATATACTCATGGTTAACCCTATCATCTATTATTTTACTTCGTAATTTTATTTTTCTATTTACAGAATCAATCAAATTTTTTCCTTTTGTACACACTAAATTAAAAATCGATTTGAGCATCATTGAAAAGTTCTCAACGTTTATTGCATTTTGTACCACCGCAAACGATTTTTTAATTAAATTCCTATCAACATTTTATATTCCTTAATTAATGTTACGAATGTGTGTGTGAGAAATTAAATAAAAAGAAGAGAAATATTATTAAAAATATAATTTTGAATCTATAAAAAGAAAGAAACTGAAGTGTATTGTCTTTTTTCGTAAACGATCGTTTTCCTTCAAACGTGTAAACATATTATTGTCGTATCGTACGATAGAAAAACATGTTTTTTCATCCATATATAGTCATTTTTATATATAATATTGGATTACCCGGAAAGTTTGTACCAATTTAAAGAAATTTATATTCGATATATATATTTTGAAATATTAAAATTAGAATTTTCCTATTTATATACTTTTTATTATATCATATATTTTTAAATGTCTACATTATATTTTTAAATATTAAAATTAGAATTTTTCCATATATATAATACATATTTTTTTTCTCTTTTTATAGATATTTTAATCACATAAATTTTCATTATTATTTAAAAGTGTTGTCGTGTGTGTTGAATTTGATTTTAAATGGTATACATTTTCAGACCACTTGACGTAGATATGAGTGTATATCATTTTTCAGGTAATTCGACATACATATAAGTACAGATACTAACTTTTTAGACAACCCGACATATGTACATGTAGGTATAAATGTAGACAGAAATGAGTTCGTAAATGGAAATGAATTGACGAAAAAGTCAGGTTTCCTATTCTCGGAACTTGAGAAAGTTTATAGAAAGCATCGTCAATGTCTGCAATGTTTCAACCCTTTAACACAGTTTCTAAAGATATCGTTAATATGAATTCTAAGTTCGACAAATTTTTCAAATATCCACGATCAATATATACGTGTTCGTGAACATTCGTCATATAATATCTAGACACACACACACACACACACATACATACATATATATATATATATATATCATAATGTAAAAAAAAGATATTTCGCTAAATTAAAGTAGGTTGGCACGTTTCCAAGTAAATCGTCTGTCGTCAATGCCGCGTAATTTATTTTATCGATTTGACTGCAATCGATATTATTGCAGCACAACGAGTTTAAATGAAACTTGTTCAATCTTTTTTTTTTCTTTTTATTTTTCTTATTTTCTTTCTTTCAATCTTTACTTTCTTTCTTCTTTCATTCTCATAGGGACATAGATCAAACATTAAAACATTTATCTGTTGTCTCTTTGATCTTCTTATATCTTCCTTCTTCATGTCAAACGTTTACAATCAGTTTTATTATTATTTTCATCTTATAGTCTAACTCCCTTGATGATTGTGAATAAGTATTCACTTCCCTTGGGAAGAGCCACTTTTGTAGGTTTATATTTACTCAAAGGCTAAATACTCTCGCGGGTTTGCAAAAGAGAGAAAGAAGGGTAAACGCGATAGGGACCGATCGATATTATCGATCCCGCATTATGTTTTGCATGATAAAAAAGGATGGAAAGAAAAATAAATAAAATAAAATAAAATATAATATAATATAATATAATATAATATACTTTTTCCAAGTTCAATTACTAGTATCTTAGTTAGAATAATTCTAATTGATCTCGTACAAATTTTCTTACTTCTTTTTAATTAAAGAAAAAAGGAAATAAATTAAGAAAAAAAAAGAAAAAAAAAAGAGAATAAAGTAAAAAGATTATTCAATTCAATTCAATAAATTTCGAATGATTTTTGTCCCTGAAATAATTTCCAAAATTTCACTTATAAATATCTCTTAAATGACTTTCTTTAGATATATGTATCTCTGTTTCTCCTACTCCTTAAAAAAAATATTCATTCTCATTAAAAAGTATATTTTTGGATCATCTAAACGTTTCTTTCTCTTGTATTTTTTTTCTTTTCCTTTCCATCCCTTATCTTTCTCTCTTTTTCTCTTTATCCAACTTTGGCTTACTTCTCATTCATCTCTGGTAGAGAGAAAAGCAGACGGACGGGGTGAAGAGGAACGGCTCTGCCTTTAATCATGCCCGCTCGTTGAAAAAAAAAAAAGAAAAAACATTTCGAGAGTAGAAGATAGCCAGAAGACGAGGGTGAGAAGAGGAAAGGAAAGGAAAAGGGAGGAGAAGAGAAAAGAGGTGGTGGTGGTGGTGGGCGAAGGGGAGACAAATATACAAAAGAAAAATTCTGAACCTACCAGCATTTCCAACTCTACCAAGTCAGCAAATGAATTTCTTTCTTTCTATCCGTGTGAGTTCTATCTTCTAAAGCCCTTTTTTCTATTTATTTTCTTTCTTTTTTGCGCGCATTAGGTCGATTTGAAATTTTATTCTAACGCAGATCAGTCTATTTGAAAAGAATTAACAAAATTGCAACCAATTGTCGTCGTTTTTCGAAGAAACTAAATCTGAAGAGGAGGATAAATATAAGAAGAATTGAAATTGGCACGAAAAATAAACGCACGATGAATCATTCGAGAACTGTCAGAGAAAATTATACGAAAAGTATGTCTATCACATTGATCCATTCTACAGACTTTCGATATTATTTAAATATTAAATTGAAATATATTTAAGAATTTAATTATAATATTTAAAAATAACAAAATCGCGAGACAAAGTTAAGAAGATAAAAGAGATTAAGAATCAAAAATCAAGTACCGTACAATTTGGAATAAGAATATCTGCACGTAGGTAATGTGTTTGTTGGTGGTGATATGTGTTGGTCGAGGATAGTGCTTCAGAAACAATGCGATCTTCACGATAACGAGGATCAAATCGGATCGCTGGAGAGAGAGTTTAAGAGGCTGAAGACTCCTTCTTCTTTTTCTTTTTCGGAAGTGGAAGAGGTGGAGGTGGAGGTGGAGGTGGAGTTTGAGGAAACTAGTCCTGAAGAAAAAGAGACACTTGCGATTAAAAAAAAATAGAACAAATTCTTTTGTGTGATACGTTTAGGATTTGTATTTTGGAATAACGGCAAAGAAGACATAAACCAAACATGGGGAATGGGATGAACAAGGTATGATCAAAATTAAATTCTACACTATTTTTTATTTTGTTAAAAAATAAAATTGATAATCCAAATACATATATTTTTAATACTCGAGTATGCATATATGTGAAATATAAACAAATTAATACGATGATTTATTTATTAATACACAAACAATTGTAATTAAAAATAAATCATAAAAATCAATTTTGCAATTTTTATAATTGGTATTATTAAAATAAACAAGTTTTAATTGTTATTTTTATTAAGAGATAAAATTGAAGATTTAAATATTCATAAATGTTGAAAAATGAAATAAGGCATTCTAAGTTTTGTGATTGCTTAAGAGATAAAATTAAGGATCTAAGTATACTTAGGTATATATATGTATATATACAAAGAAGTTAAAAGATCAAAAGTATTTGTACTTTGAAGTATAGGTACTTAAAGATAAAAAGCTCCTTTTCATTAGCTTCAGGTAAACGAGGTAATTAGTGTATTAGCAGGTACCTTCCGCGGTCGGTTTACTGAAAAGAAATGCAAATCAATAGAGTGACACTCAAGCTAGTGCTTTTCAAACCGGACATACATACATACATACATATATACATACATACGTACGTACATTACAAGTACGCTGTTTTATTTAGAAACATTCTAAGAAAGATAGTAGAAAGTGAATGAGTCAGAGTAATTGATTACAAAACATAGATAAGGATAAACTTATTTGTTACACAATTAAATTAATATTTTAACCACAATACAATAGGATTAATCAAAGATAGATATGGAAAAAAAAAATAAAAAAATATTTTATAAAAATAAAAATATATCGAGTAACTTGGATTGTAATAATCGTAATAATCTGACTACCGTTCAACAAGTAGAGCAATCAGCCGCGAGGCATGAAGGGAAATGATGCGGAATTACGTGTCACAGCCATACAATATCCTTGGGCAGAAAATGTTCAACGCGATATGCATTGTAAAATAAACGAGGACACTAACGTAAAACGGGTCGACGATCTAATCAATGAATAAAGGAAAAGAATAAAAAACGATTGTGGTCAACTGGGTAACGTGTGATTGTTATAAAGGAAGAAACAAAAATATTTTGTCAAAATGTAAGAAAAATGATAAATACATGAATGATCATTAATGGCCAATTAAATTGTTCCTATGCTTTTGATCAAAATATAACAAAAATGTATTTGTTACAATGAGAAATTCTGAATAGTTGCCAATGGGTAATAATTTATTTTAATGCTTTTTTGCTTCTTCGTGCTGATGAATTTCGGCATTGGACTGGCGCGTCCTTTTACCGTAACCCTGAAATTTCTTTGACACAGTTAGCGAAAATATGTTGATCTATCGTGCACAAAAGTAAAGCTACGAGTTCGCATACACACATATTGTGTCTGTGTGTATACTATGTATTAGTATTGTGTAACCTAAGGAATACTTCTGGCAAACTTCCAGTCTAACGCAATACTTGTTTGATCTTGAACTTTTTTATTACATGAAAAAGCACGCAAACAAACATTACTCCGATTCGATAGAATTATTGGAATGTGATTATTTATTTGTTATAATTATTGAAAAAGATTTTTCAAAACATTCAATTTGATTTAATTTTCAATAAGAATAAGATTAATTAAGTTTGATTATTCACACAACTTCAAATATGTCTACACATATTTTACTTTCATTTTATTATAGAATTAAAACACGGACAAGAAAGAAAATGTTTTATTCGATTTATTAAAAGATAAAAACGAAAATTGAATATTAATAAGATTTTATTATACGTATAGGATAAATTGGTATCGTTTAATTCCTTTGAATTATCTGACAAAACAGTAGTTCTTTGTAAAAATATATTTTAAAGAAAATCAATTTACATATTTCGTCTTCTTTATACATTTAGTAATATACCTAACGTTAAGAGATAGAATCGTTGAAGTATAATAATTTATATTTATATTATCGTACTGTGGTGTCATTACAAACGATCCATATAATTTTATTTCTTATATATACAAAAACTTGATAATACTCGATTATTTTATTCGAATCGTATGATAAAAATATCTGACACACATTAAAAATCAAACCTTTTCATTAATTTCTCAATATTTGATTTATTCGTCGCGTGTGTGCGCGTTAATTAATAAAGTTTTCTTAACAAAATCTTGACAAGTATCTACAAATTCTTGGCCGGGAGAAAAGAAAAACTTAGAATTAGGTCATCGAACTTTTTTGTAATTTAAAATATTATTTTTTCTTATTAATATTCTTATGATAATGTCGAAACCTTTTTATATTTTTTGATAATACGTACCTATATACAATTTGACATGTCACGCAAGCTATGACGATAAAAAACTTTGGATAGAAATTTATTGTGATTTATAAAATCACGTGTGTTGGTCGTTTACAAATATCATCTAACGAACATGATCATTAATTTTTATAAAATATTCATTACTTTTATTATATTTTGGAATATATGCGTGTAGGTACTTCCCGGCCTTTATGTTGGTAATTATCAAGACAGTAAGGACGCAGATCAACTGGAAAGGTTCGAGATAACTCATATCCTGGCTATTCACGACACGGCTCGTAGATTACATTCTGTACGTTTCAACCATAAATTATACTTATTTTTTACGATATTATATAACTATTTATAAAATAAAATATATAATCGCGAAGATAACAATAAATTAATTTGTTTCTTTTTTTTCAGAATAAACATTATTTATGCATCCTAGCAGCAGATAGACCAGATCAAAATCTGTCACAATATTTTTCTCTATGTAACGATTTCATTCACGCGGCACGATTGCGCGGTGGTAACGTTCTAATACATTGGTAAATATTAATATAAGGGAGAGAGGAAACAAGCACAATAAGATATAATATTATTTCTTGAAGCCTGGCAGGCATGTCGAGAAGTGTGACAGTCGCAGTCGCTTATATCATGAGCACCACAAATCTATCCTGGAAAGAGGCACTTAAGGTTGTGAGGGTAGGTCGTTCTATCGCCAATCCAAACGCTGGCTTTCAACAACAACTCGAGGACTTTGAATCAAGCCGTCTTCAGGAGGTACGGAATCTTTTTGATATTTCTAAGATTGAAGGAAAGAAATATCGACAATAAGAATAACGTATTACCTCTCTTACGAAACGAAAACATAAAAGGAAACACTAAAACTGGAATATACGATAATATCAAGGTTTCTTGTTCTAATTTAATAATATAAAGCTCTTGTCATTTTTCTTCTTATTCAGTTAAACGAGAATCGAACTAACTAAAGTTTCTATTTTAATCTTATCCAAGAATCATATCGATAATGTACAAAAATAAACCACAGAAAATGAGTCCCTTATTAATTGAGCATACATTCATACGACGCTCGTAGACGTTTTAATTTCGTCCACAGGAACGACGAAGATTGAAAGAAAGATTTCCTAGTCTCGCGTTAGCCGAAACTGATGCAGAAGCATGCAGAGCAACACTTAAAAATTATGAGGCATTGGTGCAAGCACGAGAAGTTTGCGAAGGCAAATGTGCAATGGGTCGTCCTTGTCCTACTGGTCTTTGTCGTCAACCGTCCAAAAGGTAACGAATTTCTTATTCCTTTTGCTAGTTTATTTTATTTTATACAATCAAACTTGTTAATGCTTCGTATAAATATTTGAAAGAAAATTTGATTCGAACTATTTAATTATTAAAGCACATAAAGTATTTAAAAATAAACAAAATCTCAACGTAGGACTTCCAGAAGACGATCGTCTTCCAGTAGTTCCGGAAATTTAACGCCTGGTAGAACACCACCGCAAACACCAAGAATGCTTCCATCCGCACCACCCTCGCCAGCCATGCCTAGATCAGCCAGCGTTATGTCCACTAGTCGGCCAAGGAGTGGTCCTGCAGGTTTACATTCCTATACAGGATCCGCACCTCCTTCCAGGTAATTTAGCCTCCTCTCCTGTATTACATTTATCTAGTGCTTAGCTTTATAAAAAGATCGTTTATAATTAATTTAGGTCTCATGTAATATGTTTCGCGCCTAAAAGTAGGCATCACTTCATACTTTGTCGATAATGTTGCTTGCGAGCGCCATCTCTCGGAAGAACATTTTTGAAGACCCCTCGTGATAGGCAATCCCGTAATACAGCTATTTATTAATGGGTTGTCTATTATAAGGGGTAGTTATAAATTTTTATATCAAAAATAATTAAATGTACAATAATGAATGAAAAAACTCAATGAAGGATAATAAAAAAATTAATTTTCACAGAGCTGTTTCGAGGGTTGATCTGTCAACTGCCGTAGCATGCAGTAGTAGCAATACGAATTTAGCTACTGTGGGCAGATCCGTTACACTATCCAGTAGTAATTGGAGATTGACAGCAGGATCAGCACCAACCACACCAAGGCCGACACCACCTGTGTCCCCTCAACGATGGTCAAGACGACTTTCCAGACAAACGCCACAATTACCTGTACCATCGGAAGCCCATTCCTCGATGACGTAGCAGCACAATGCAATCACCCTTTCCAGTCTTCTGGAATGAAGCTAGGTAAAGATCTTTGAAAAGAAATAGTACAGATCACTTCAAAACTTGCAAGAAAAATGCAAGACACGTTGTATTAAATTTTGTTCTTCTCTTTGACAACCAAGTCTCTATCTATTTCTTTTTTGTTTGTTCTTTCTTCTCTTTATTTTTTAATCACTTTTAAAATAACAGATCTTAACGAGAAACCTGAGATCGTCGAGTTTTAAATTTATCGACTGATAAGAATGATCTTGGGAAGATATAATTATTTTTGAAAATAGATCTAACAATTATCAACTAATAAGCGATCATTTATGCATCTATTCTGCTTCTAATCGAATTCGAATTTGTACTTTCGAATTATTGGGTTGTTAATCAGTCGCCTTATAAGATGTCAATGAATAAAATGACATGCCGCGGATGAAACTCTATGAAAACTGGATAGTTTGTATATCATACGGGTCTAACGGGTTAATGATTGATGAGATTGATTATACATCGAGGGATGGGATAGAGGGTCGAGTGGAATTTGTTGGAACAGGTAAAGAAAAACTTTGACCGATTTTGTACGTTTGTAAAATCCTTCAATCTTGTCGTACTGTCAAAAACACAAGACAAGAACAAAATTAATGAACAGAGTTGTTACTTGGAGGGAGGGAGAGAGTATGAAATTTCGTTGACATGGAATGAACTAATTGAAAAGATCAAATGTTTGAAAGCGAAGTGTGATATGTTGTTTTTATCATGTTATCCCATCACCAAATTTTGTTCGCAACCGTCCAAATAATTGTTGGCTTTGTAGCGGGATCGCGCTGTTTATCGCGAATCGTTGTTGACACTCTGAAAGATATACATATATAAACATATATACATATAATACATATTATACACCATGGCCCGAGTGTCACGTTGTTACGAAAAGGATTTTCAAAGAGAATAACACGTAGTTATATATAGATAGAAGATAAATAAATAAGAAGAACAAAAAAATAAATATATATATATATATATATTTCACAAGGCACACGCACGCATTTACAAATAATAATTCATATAAAATGAAAAAGAATATAAGAAGAAAAAGAAAAGGTAGAACGAAATTTGTCATGCGTATTTCGAAGTCTCGTTCGAATTAATTTCTTAATTTTTTAATAAATTCTTAATTTTTTTTTTTATCTCACTCGATTAGCTTCTTCTCTTTTCTTTACATATATAATATATATTATAGAAATTCAGAACAAAAGCAGAGATTATTAAATGAGAAGAAAATATATATGGACTACTTTTTTAAATTTAACAATCACTTATTAAATAAAATTCTGTACATACATAAAACTGTATTCGTTGATTTGAATTTAACGAATACTGGCTGTTATATTAGTTGTAATATATTTTTTAATAACACTAAACATATATATATATATATATATATATACATATTTATTGTTTTCATATAGAAACTTGCGTATTCGCTAACAGTAAGTTTAATAAGAAAAAGAAAAAGATTGACGATGGCGAAAGTAATATATAAAAATAGCGTTTAAAAGCGATGTTTTTATCCAAGCAATCATACTACACAATGTATATTTAGGACTATTAATGAATTTCATTTCACTGTGCTGCGATGACACTGAAGGAACCAAAATAAAAAAAGAAAAGAAAATCGCGTAGATTAGAAAATATATAAGTGCAATAATAAATTGTATGTTTCTGTACGCCTTTCGAGAACGTTTTTCTATCGTTCTTACCGCAAAATAATAAATCTTCGTATGTTTTAAACTCACGGTTCAAAAAAGGAAGGGAAAAAAAAATAGAAAAAAATCATCTGCTATTTCTCTCCGTAATTAGTTACTGTCGCGTAAAAAAAAAAAAATCATATCATGCAGAAAAATATATTAATTGAAAAAGAGCCTCCTTCTCGTATATTTATACATATTTAGAAATTAGGATATTAATGCTTGAGATCGCTTCGAAATCAAATATTATAACGTTCTCGAAGAAGGCTTTTAATCATTTGTCGAATACACATTCACCTTATTATTCTATAGTAATTCCTATATTTTTTTGCGAACAAGCGGCTTAACTGAAGTAAATACAAGAATGATTCAATAATAATTATTATATAAAATTATTTGTTTTCCATTGATTGTATCAAAAATATAATTTTATTAATTATGCAACATTTTAAAAGTGCATTGAAAATGTTAAAGAACAAAGTTACCTTAATATCTGAGTAATAGGAAAAAAGTCATTTGAAATAATAATTATTATTGATTCACTCTGTATGCGCGTACGTAATATTTTGATACGAGTAAATCGAAGCCGATTAATCATATGAAAAAAATAATTATCGATCATTTCGTTGTCAATACGAACACATTTAGAAATGTATATGTATAAGTGAATATAAATGAAAAACTTTGATCGGCCAAGTTAGGGAAGAAATTGACAAAGAAAAAGTGTTCACAATTCTTGTACTTGTATGTAAATGGGAAAATGAAAAAGAGTGAGCGTGTTAATAATTAAGAAGAAAATAAAATAAAAGCTCTCTTCGAATAATCCGCTTGTTCGAAGAAGACACAGTTAAAACATCCTAAATAACTAACATATTCTCTACAATTTCAATATTCTACTTTTTTGTAAGGTTCGTGCAATCTCCTCTAGTCCCGGTTTAACATATATTTATTATTAACTTATGTATAACAATTAAGTAGACGCTCTATGAACAATTGATTCGTGCACTTTGACTATTTCTAAACGTAATCGCGATCAGAATAAAAGAAAAAATATTTATATATATGTAACATGCGAAGTATCGCATGCATTAATTATTTTCTATTAAAAAATATCAAAGTTTATAAGCACAATTGGAAAAAAAGAAGAACAATTTTCTATAAAGAAAAAATGATATAAAATTAAATTAATATTGCTTCATATTATCGAGAAATAAATCGCTGGTCGATTGAAAATTTGAAATAAACATTTGTACGGGATCGTGAGAAATGTTATCGATTATTTTTATAAATCGATTATTGTTATTGTATCAGTAATCGAGAATTATAATGAAGATGATGATGACGATGATTAATTAATGAAACGTCAGAGAATGTTAATGATGGTTACATGGAATTTTTCAGAATGCACTGTATTTATTTTTCTATCCTATTATTCTATCATTGTCATTATCAATCTCTACAGAATAAATTCAAAGAATATATGAAATGTTAATTATTATTATAGTGCGATTATTAAATTTTACGTCCTAGAAACATAACTCTTCGTTAACTCGTATAGAAATAATTAATTAATGATTACAATATTTTATATGATTTAATTTAGTCATTTAGAAAAATGTTGATTATGATTGAAAAGAAACAAATGTAAAACTTCACGCATGCTAGTTAACTTAAAAAATAACATTTTAGTCGAATAAAAAATTAGTATTTTTTAAATTGATTACGCGAGCACGACTATGAAACATATTCAAAAAATCATATCATTCATTTAAATGCACAAAAATGTAAAGCCTAAAATTCAATTTCACTATTATACTCAACGTGCGAGGTAATAAAAAAAAAACAGTTCGATTATTAGATCTATCGTTAATAGTGAAAGAAATAAAAAAAGAAAAAGTGATATATGAAACGAATCGCTTAAAAGTGAAAATGACATTTCTTGGCAATATTACATTTAACAATCGAATTTGGTAAGCATTTGTTGATAATTATTAAATGATACGCGAGATGGTCATTTGAACACATTTTACATATACATATATACATGTACATACAAGGTGCTCCAAAAGTTAGTTTACAAAAAAAGATTTAAACAAGGATAACAAAAAATAGAAAATCAATAAAATTACAATATTTAATTTTGTATTGGAAGGTATGAATTGTTATCTATAGTTTTGTTTTAAAAATATAATCCATTCTAAATAAATAATTAAAAATCTACCAGAAAATGTTACTAATTTTTTCAATTAGATAAAGTAATTTCTGGGACACCTTGTATATATCAACATATATAGATATATACAAATACATATATGTATTTCGATCATGCGATCAGCTTACAAAGTCAATCGTTTATTGATATTCATTATAGATGAACACGAATGCACCATTGCATTAGTTCAAGTATTTTTGATACATCCAAATAAAACTGTGATGCGTATTATTTAAACGCACTACCACATTTCATATCATCATTCATCGGTGTAATATATAAATCATGATGAATTGTCTAATGTTAATTAATTAAATAAACAAATATAAAAAATAAGTATTATTATACAGGCACCATCGAAAATAGATAATAAAATTTTGTGAAAGCTTGGCAAATAATTATTAGCAAACATTAATCGTGAAATAAAAACACACACACATACTATGCTCGATCGTTTACCTAAATGCATACATAATTAAATTAGTTCAAGTTATAATCTTGCATTCATTACTTCATTCGATCAAGTAAATTAAATAAAAATTCAAGGATGCGTACACGTTTTTCATACGTTTTCATGAGTGTGAGAATGTAACAGAGAGAGAATATAAATAATTTCCCTGGAATAAACAAAATGCATTTAAAGTTTGTTATATAAAATGATAAATTGTTAATCACGTATCGTTAGAATGCACAAAATTAAGAGAAACACATATACTATCGGATTAAAAAGAATTTCAATAATTAAGTCAATGATATTTCTTTTTAAATATCTACTGAAAAATATATTTAAATAAACATACACACATAAAAATTGTCCAAAACATAATCGTTAACAAAAAATCGTCAAATGTTACAAATAATTATATGATTATTATTGGGCAACACTTCGAGTAGCTTTTAGAATCACAGAGCAACAGTTATAATATAAAAAACATATAATATTTTTCCACATGGATTAAAGAATAAAAATCCAGGAAAATAAAAACTCAACAACTAACAATAAGATTGAAGCTTCTTTGCTTCTTCTAATCGACAAATCGCATGGAACTTTTGCAAAAAAATTCTGTACCTGAATCTATTTTAAAGCGCGGTGCATAGGATTCGTTATATGCTTTAGAAAATAAAATCCGGAAAAAAAGAATAAAAAGAAAAGGTGTGTTTGTGATAAGTTCGAAAAATAAAAAAAATAAAAACAATTTTTCTATCTTCACGAAAGCATCCTCGTTTCATAAAGCGAATTATGATATATATATTAATGATCATAAAAATTATTGTCCCTGTACTTCGTTATTGATCCGATAAACCAGAAAAATTATATACCGAAGCTACGAGACAATGAATAAAAATCTGTTCCTGGCACCAATGCTTTATATCCCTCGCATTCTTATTTTCATTATTCTACCTTCTTTTCTTTTTTTATTTTTTATCAAGATTTATTGAAAATGTTAACATTTTTCAGTTCTGTCTTTTAATGGATGATCCAAAGTGAATAATAACCGAAGCTCTGCATGAAAAGGAATGATTAAAGAATATCTCATAATCTAGAAACAAGAAATAGCTGTTTATAAACTCTATGGCATATGTACATTAGTTATTTTATCGAAATTTAATAAGATATAGATGTGGTGCAGTTTAAGGTACAAATAAAATGATAGTCTTCCGATAGAACACTTCTTTGGTTTCTTCTTTTCTATTCATTTTCCTCCACAGTTTCATCTATAACTTTATTAAGTTTATGATTTTGCCAATCTAAAGTAATGTTGTCCAGATGATTATCAAAATCAACAAGATTACGATATTGTTCATTTTCCAACAAAGTATATAATGCATCTGTAGGTGCAACTCCTCCTTCATAGAATATACTATAAAAAATTTAAGTAAGGTAATCTTTTAGATAAATAATTAAATTTATACGTTAAAATATTATGAACTAATGATAGAAAATATACTACTTGGCTTTGTCTTTGAGTTTCCATTTTCCATCCACAAACTGTGAGATACGTAACGGGCTTGATGTCATATTAAGTGTCATCTCTTTATTATCTACCTAGTAGAAAAGTAAAGAATCAAATCCAGGTCTAATATATTTTCATATAAACATAATTATACTTACCACAACAAGTAAAGCACCACTACAATTTTCTGCTATTTTATCTGCTATTCTGTGAGCTGGCCTATCTGTACTGTAATAAAAAATAATCTTACTTAGAATAAATATCACAAAAAATAAAATAAGCATACACAAATAATAATAGATAAACAATATTTACCTTAAGTCATTAATATTTTCGTTTGCAAGATAATAACCAGCCAATATCAGACCTTTACTCGTAGCTAACTGATCAACCTAGAAAAATAAATCTAACATTTATATCTACTAAATGGGAACACAAGTGGCACAAAAAACATAACCTCAAAATATGACAGTTGCTTTAGATAGTGTATCATACATATACCATTATTATTGATATAACATAGTAATAAATATAATATTCTTGTTAGAATTTGTAAAGAAATAATAATAAAATACTTACAAGAGTAAGTGCAATTTCCGCCATTGGTGAAACATGAAGACAAATATGGAATAACGGTATTGCATCCTCAATACGTAACTCCGAGGGTTTTCCATCGTTCTTAGTTTTTAATCTAGCAAGTAACAAACCATTGATAGCACAATGTGGGTATTTAGCAGCGTGTAAAATTATTTTACAATATGCACGAGGAGAAAATATGACGTCTGCCATTTTCTTTAATAACGGAGTATGTTGCTTCAGACGGACATATAATTACACGTCATGCTTTCCCAAATGATTCGCTTCCCTTCCACGTCACGTGACCCACAACTAACCAATCAACGTACAAAAGTGCCGCCGCAATTTTGTTACCATGGTGATCGCACAGCTGATCGTGTATGTAAACAGACGCTACTGTCAGTATATGACAGCTTTACCTGACAATTAAACATGGATACCACGTGCACATATTTTACTTTAAATATTAAGTTGTATAATGTATTTAAAGTTCTCTCATCTCGTGAATAATTATTTTTTTACATATTTTATACTTTTTTACTTACTTTCTATAAGGTAAACTTTGTTATTGGTAATTAAAAAATATAAAGAGAATTTTTTTTATAAATATATACTTTAATAATAAATTATTAATTGTTCAATAAGAATAAATTTTAATATTATTTTATAGATGGCTGACCTTTCTGATGATTCGGATATAAATCCGGAAGAAATTGCACGTATAGTTGAAGATATTGAAAATCTGGATAATAACTTGCTTAAAAGTTCATTTAAAAAACCGAGCCGTACAAGAATAGATAATGAAGATTCTACATTAGCGAGTAATACGGATACCAAAAAAAAGGTTCTATTTAAAGGTTTGGATTATATCGGATACTTTATAATAAATCTAAATGTGTATTGAAAATATAAACTTAAATTTTTGTAGATTATAACAAAGAAGATCCTTTGGCAGATTTAATATCAGACGAAGAAGAAATACCATTAAAGCAAAAGAATGTTGTTGCACAAAATGCTAAAAGTACTTTAATGGAAAGTTTATTCGGTATTAAAACTATAAATAGTTCCGTATCCAGCATTCAATCAAGCGATAAACCAATACTTTCATTGTCTGATACAAGTACAGATAATATTAATCCAGTAAAAAGTTCATTGAATCAAGACAATCAATTAGATTTAAAAGATGAGTCTGTTGTCCCTGAAAATAAACCGTTGAAGCAAATAAATATACAAAGAACACAGAGTACTTCTTATATTAATGATGGTACTACAGCAAGTACACTCAATAAATTGCGATCGACGACTGATAAATCACAAAAATCATTATTAATGGAAGACTTATTTGGAAATAGACAACGTTCTATTTCTACTCAGAATATTAGCACTCAACAAACTGTTGACAGAATTGGTACAAAAACAACTACAGAATATACGACAGATATTATCAAAGAAGATAATCCAGTTAAATCTACAACGTTTGGATATGCACCTACTACTTCTGTGTCTAGAGAATCACGTAGGGGAAGAAAAACTTCGAGTATAATTCATGATCCTTTAGGTTTACTTTCTTCGCCTCAACCTGAATATACTTCCGAATTGGTAATCTTCATTTAAATTCCACTTCCTTCAAAGTATTACTATTATATATATATATGCACACACACATATATACACTAGATTAATAAATTATTTTTAATTATAAAGAAATCAAAAAAAGCTGAAACTACTGAAGACTCAAGTAAAAATAAATCAACGAATCAAGATCTACCTGAATGGTTAGGTGGAACAAAGAAATCGGATAATAAAAAACAGCAGGAAGTTGAACAACCGTCTTTGCATAATGCAGAACAGAATATTACACAGCAAAAACAACCTTTCGAAAATTCACAAATACAACATAACTTCAACATAAACAAACCAATAAAGACAGATAATAGTGACATGAATAATACAGCTGTACGTCAAGAAGAATTACCAATACTAATTAGTACACAATTCGATCAACATGCAGCAATTATGACTATGCAACAACAGGAACATGAACTAAGAACAGCTGCAACTTTATCTCATCAAAATGATCAATTAAATAGGCTGATAGAAACTCAAAAATACAAATTGACTGAACAAGAAAAACAATTTAACATGCTTATTAAAAAACAAATGGACAGACAAATCTTACTTGAAGCGCAAATGAAACAACAGCAAGAGCGCATTAATCATTACATTCAGGTAAGTGATACATAAAAAATAATAAATAATTATTGAAAATGATTACAGTTTTTTTATTTCTTTTTTGATATTTAAGACATTGATGGCACAACCCACATCGTTGCCAACGCCAATGAATTTTTCAACGAATCAAACTACAGGAGATATGCAAGAAGAAAAAGATAAAATTATTTTTGAAAAATCAATAGACAAATTAGAATCGGAAAAGTTTTATTTGGAAAATACATTAAAAAGTTTAAACGAAAGACATGAATATGAATTAATAATCCACGAAGATTCATACAAATAAGTATCTTAGATCAATTTTTAATTAAATGTTAAAAATTTGTAGTTTATGTATATATATATATTTATGGTATTTTATTTTTGCAGAAGGCAGATTACATTCCTTCAAGAAATGATCAATAAACTTGAAAAGAAATTTCGTAATGAAATAGAGATTTTACAAAATGATTATGAATCACAAATTGAGAAAATTAAAGCGGAGAAAATACAAATAGAAATGGCGTATAAAGAAGAAATAGAAAATTTAAAAGTAATATTAAATTCTTTTAATTCCATGAATTATATAAAATGCAAATAGTAATTAATTTATATTATATTTATATATATTTCTAGAAAGAACATGTAAAATCTATTCAAGAAATTTGTGAAAGGCATACTATGAATATAAATCTTTTGCAAAAAGAACATTCACAAACTCTTGAAAATATATCAAAAGCTAAAGAAAGAGAAAATTTAGCAGTGACGTCTGTAACAAATCTTAAATCAGATATTGAACAGATGTTACATAAATCTAATATTTTAATCAACAATATAAAGACTGTACACGAAAAATTAAAAGATAAGGATGAGAAAATTGATAAAATAAAAGAAGAATATTTAAAATCAGAAAAAGAATACTTAGAAGGTATGCTTTAAAATAAAATTTAATACATTTAAACAAATCTATATGAATATTTATATTACGACTTTGTTTTACAAATAACTATAGTAGAAAGACAAAGTTTAGAAAGACAGAAAGGTATCTTGGATGAAGAACGCAAAGAAATTGTAGAATCAATGAAAAAACTTGAATCGAAATTTATACAAGTCACATCGAATATTCAAAAGCAAAGTCTACAATATGATGAGGCTGAAGAAAGACTTAATACAAAAGAAAAAACATTAACAAGGGAAAGAGAATTATTTGAACAGAAAGTTATTTGGGAACGTAAACATTTAGAGGTAAAATATTAAAAACATAATTACATTTTTTTAATTGAACATATGATTATTAATATATGATGCTTGTAGAATTTAAGGGATGCATGGATAAAAGAGCAAGAAAGACAGTTAGGAGCAATTGCACAAGAAAGAGAAGCAGTTATAACAGAACGTGCAAAAGTAGAAGTTTTCGATAGATTAAAATCTGACGACATGGCAAAGGCAGAGGTATTGACAAATAAAAATTAATATTTAATACATTTTATTAATATATTAATATCAATTTTTTTTAGTTGGAAGCTGCTATAAGTGCCGCTCAAAATGCGAATAGTCGTGCTAATCAAGAGAGACTGAAATGGCAAGAAAAAATAAGAGAACTTGAAATACAACAACAACAAATCCAAGAAAAGGAAAACGAACTTATACTGCGTGCCAAAGAACTTGAAAACTTAACACAGGTGAAGGATATTTCAATTAATAATTAGAAAAAAAGATAAAATAAAAAAAAGTATTTTTCTACTAATACATATATACTACCAAATAGTCTGCACTAAAAAAAAAGGATGAAGGAATAAGGGCGTTAAAACAAGCACGTCAAATTGAAGATCAACATAAAGAAAGGGTCGGTCAATTACAATTACAGCTTGAAGCATTGGCACAAAGAGAAACTAAAATTGCGTCTGAGAAATTACATTTAGCAAGGTAAATATGAAATCAAATAGATTAAAATGAAGTAAAATTAAAAATTATGCCTTTTTTATGATAGAGAAAGATTAGCATTACGAACTGCTCAAACAGAAAAACCAGTAAAAGACTTAAAAGTAAATATTCATTCTACATACGAAGATATTCCAACAGTTTTATCAGATATTCCTACTTCACAAGCTTTACCTTCTTATATGGTAATGATTAGTTTGTTATATTAAAATATTAAAAAGTATATTATATAAAATATTTTTAAAAAATAAATATATATTATATCGTTTAAATGTTGCAGGAGATTATCGATCCACAATTAATAATGCTAAAATTAAATTTAGACAACCAGTTAGATGTCACTAATAAATGCCTTGAAACAATGGGTATTTAATAAAATATTAAGCATAAGTGTGTACAAAGATTGTGTAATTCATTTATTAGAAAAATTACATACCTTGCATATGAGATCAACAGATTACGAATCTGATGAATTCAATTCTGCATTTTCATCTAATACAAAAATAAAGAATGTAAATAGAATATTATATAAATAGATTAAAGTATACAAAATAAAATTATTTTATATGATTGTAGACAGAGATTTTTATACAATTTCATATATTAAATATAAATTAGGATATAAAAGGAAACTTACCATCGGAAATAATTTCAAGATTGCAAAGTAAATCGATATTATTTCTGACTTGCTCTATGTGCAGAAATGCAGATTTAGCTTTGTAAAATTCATTACTCACATGATTGGTACATGTCACCTATACAAACAAATTAAATATGATGATATAATTATATTTATCGGATTAAATATTCATTTATACTTACGATATTATTAATTATTTTTTCGGCGTCTATGTTATCATTTTGTATGATTTCTAAAGGTCCATTAGCAGCTTGAAAATTATTTAAAAATTCTAAAGCATTTGAAAAAAATTCTACCGATTGTCTAAACAAATAATGTTATAATAAATATAAATATGAATGAGAACTTTTATAATAAAAATTTGAAAATGCCAACTTACCGATGGCATTCATGCGATATTGGTAAACCCTGGGCATGTTTGGATTCAAATAACAATTTTTTTACCGCATTCTCGTGTGTAATTAAATAATTACAGTTTTTACTAATAATCTCTTGACAGTCCATACTTTCATCTAAAAGAAATTTAATATGATTTATTATTCTATATCGTACAGTAGCAAAATTGTAGTAAAAAGTGTTTGTTACTATATTTAATACAAATTATAATTCATTACCTCGTAAAGCTTTTAACTGATTCATTAGATTTTTATATTCTTCTGACTGTTGTTCCTTATCATTTTTATACTTTTCACAACAAATATTTCTCCTTTTTTGTAGTAAACCTCTTAAGGATTCTATTTCTTCCATATTTAAATAATAATTAAAATATTATAACATGACAATATTTTTTTCAAATAAATCAATTATTCAATACACATTAGAAAAGATTATTTTATTATATTGTCGTAATAGATCTCACTAAATTGTTTAAATTTTTTAAACAAAGAGCATTATTATGACAGTTGAACGTGCCACTGCTGCCACTTTAAGATCAATTAATGTATTAATCTATAAAAAAAAAGTTACTATAGTTTAATACTAAATGACAAATAATAAATAATTAATAAGGTCAAATAATAAATTCAATTATTTTCAAATTCAATTCACATTTATTAACTTTATAATAAAATTATATAATTTTTTTTTGTTAAAACTGCTTAAAAAACTATTTTTATTCAAGAATTGCTTTAATGTTAAAGGATATAGGGAATTTTTCCTAGAAATATATGGCAATAGTGTTTAGCACTGTGCATCGATACACGTTGCACGTCTGAACGTTTGCTATTGTAAAGATGACGTGACAGTACATTTTTTAATAAGTTACACAAATATTAAAGTTTGACTTTTATTTCTATTGTTTTATTTTTTTTATATCAACAACATTTTATTACATACAGTGAATAAATTGTTTCTCTTTGATCTCTTTATTTATTGTATATAAGTTATCTTTTTTTTCAATATATATGGAATTATTTATTTATATAAACATATAAATATTTAAAAGGATATCATTTTGTTGGATAGTCATCCTGAGACATGGGAGATCAGCAGATTATTTGTTTGATCAAATGGTTGGATACATTTGATCTTCAGGCTGCTCATTCATCCCCAGAAGATATAAGCGATGGTGTCGCATTGGCTGAAGTTTTGGCACAAATAGCACCAGAATGGTTTACGGCAGTTTGGAAGGCAAAAATAAAGACAGAGGTTAATTCTAATTGGCGTCTTAAAGTAAGCAATCTTAAAAAAATTATTGAAGCTGTAATGGAATATTATATAGAATGTTTGAATCAACAATTGTCGGGCTACGTAAAGCCAGATGCTGGAAAGATAGGAGAACATTGCGATAGAGACGAATTGTGTCGTTTGCTACAACTTATTCTTGGATGCGCAGTAAATTGTAATCAAAAACAACAATACATAACCAGAATTATGAGTATGGAAGAGTCGGTGCAACAAGCTATTATGCAAAGTATTCAAACGTTAGAAAGTAGCATGCACGGTCCTAGATTAAGTTTGGGTACCAGTCTCAATTTTGAATCATTAGATGTAGCCGATGGTGCTCAACAAAGATTATTATCAGAACTGCAAATTGCAGTAGATATGAAAGAACAATTAGAACAAAGATGTCACGAGCTTGATCAACAACTTTCTCTTCTTCAGGAAGAAAAAGTAGGATTGATTGCTGAAAATAAGAAACTCCAAGAGAGATTAGATGAATTTGAAAATCCTGAAGATTCTGGTTCTATCTTAAAATATTCTAGTCTTCGAAAACAAGTAGAAAATTTGAAAGATGAAGTATTTAAATTAGAGACCTCCAGAGACGATTATAGATTAAAAGTAGAATTATTAGAGAAAGAAGTATTAGAATTACAGACCAAGCAAGAAGATTTACAAAAATCAGCTGACGAAGCTAATATCCTAAAAGATGAAGTAGATGCATTACGTGAAACAGCAGATAAAATAACTAAATACGAACTTACTATAGACTCTTACAAAAAGAAGATGGAAGATTTAAGCGATTTAAGACGACAAGTTAAAATTCTGGAAGAAAAAAATATGGAATATTTACAAGCCAAAATTGATTATGAGGAAGAAATGAAACGAGGTACCATGCTACGTAATCATCTAGAACTCTGTAAACAACAACTTGCAGAAGTTAGTCATAAATTAGATGAACAAAGTAATAAATGTGATAGGCTTGAATTTGAAGGAAAAAAAATGGAAGCAAAATTGAGTGCACTGCAAAGAGAAAGAGATAGATTAATTATAGAACGGGATGCTTTGAAAGAAACTAATGAAGAATTAAAATGTACGCAATTACAAGCAGCAGAAAATATTGCTAAACCTGTGTCAGACGATGCAGTAGGAAGTACGGAAATGATTCCACTAGAAGTTAAAGAGAAGTTATTATTTTTACAATATGAAAATAAAATGTTAAAATTAAAACAAAAAGGTAGTGAAGATAAATTACCTACAGTCCAAGCACTACTTGAACATTCTGAAGAACAATTAAATAATCTCAGAGGACAAAATCGTGAAGCTAATCAGAGGATAATTGAATTAGAAAATAAATTAGAAGAAGCTATTGGGAATCAATCTAGTACTTATAATAAAAATGACAATATAACGCTACAGCAAAAAATAACACAATTACAGGATGAATTAAGAAGAGCGCAAGTTGAACGAGAACGTTTGGTATTACAAATTGAGGATCGAGATAATGCTTCACAGAGTCAGAAACAAAAAGCTTTTGCATTGCAAGAAAAATTAACGCGACGCGAATATGAGAACGCAGCACTTGAAGAACGTTATAAGAAATACATTGAGAAAGCAAAAAGTGTTATAAAAAGTTTAGATCCTAAGCAAAATAATTCTTCACCCTCGGAAATGGTTGTATTACGTAATCAAATTATAGAACAACGTAAAATGATTGAAGATATGGAAAGATCTTTAAAAGAATCTAAGATGGTCAGAGAAATGGAAGAAAAGCTAATGATATCAGCATTTTATCGTTTAGGATTATCCTCTCATAGAGAAGCTTTAGATCAACATCTTATTGCACTTAACTCGGGACAAGGGCAATCTTTTCTTGCCAGGCAAAGACAACCTTCGGCAAGACGCTATCCGCAATTTAATTCTAAGTGAAAAATGACGAGATATACTTTATTGAAAAGTTTTTACTATAAAATTAAAGATCTAGTATATCTATATATATAATTTTATTTAATGTGATTTATACATTATACTAATGTATTTATGTATTTATTTACAAATTACGTATAGATGCAATTTATTTCATTATAAATACTACATTCTTAATAATATGTATATATACATGTACAGATATAACATAATACGTAAAATTATTTATTGTGAATATTGTAAACTTTTATAATGAGATAAATATTACCATTTTGTGCTGAAAATTAAGTATACCATCTATATAGTACAAGTATCACAATTTTCATTTTTCTACAAATGCATCAGCTTCTAATTGTGAGGGTTTTTTTTACTTTTAATCAAAGTATATCATTTTTGAGATCTTGATTATATACATAAACATAACGAAATTTTCTTTAGAAAGATTATTATTATTCTGTGTATGCATATACGATCCAAAGAAAGTAAAATGTGCAAAATTGTCTAGAATATATAAGAAATTAATTAAAGTTAATGAGGAATGTGTTATTTTATCAGAGAAAAAAAATGTGATCTGTTAAAAGTTATATAAAAATATTATTTTCATGAATTATTATATATATATATATATATTATATATTATATATATTTATAATACTGACGAAATAAAATACTATGATAAGTGAAATTTATTTTTATTATCTTATATAATAAAAATATCTCTCTATGTGTAGTGTGATAATTTATATTAATATATCCCTGAGTTTTCAGATTTACGCAGATTTGTAAGTACATACGACAATATGCTAAAACTTTTAGTTACGATTTATTTGTATATATATATATATATATATATGTATATGACTAGCCAGTAATTGGCAAATTGTTGCCTGATTATAATTTTCCGTAGTCTTCTATTAACATATTATTCCCCATTATACAGATATTTGTTCATAGTATCATGAATAAACAAAATATATCAATTGTGTGATTAAAAGTGTAATATAAAAAATTAAATAAAAATCATAAGCACAAATATTAACAAAATAGTCAGAGGAAAATAAATAAGATGAAAAACATATTCTTATCTGTGCTGTATAATTATATTTTTGGTTGATAATTGTATATATTCTCTTAATGGATCATTTATTTCCATCATATGCTAAAATTTCTGAACCACATATTTTTTGCAACATAATCTGCCGTTCGTTATATAATTTATTAAGATAATTAGTAACTCTGCTATTATAATTAGTTATATTTTGTGCTTTTGTAATATTTTTTAAATTTGTATAACATCTTTGATAATAAAATATCGCACCAAATAAATCCCAAGCACTAAATTCAGGCCATAATACATCAGCAAAATAGATGCAACTGTTACTAACCTGTGAACATTTGGTATATCATGCAATACTTTTTAATAAATTCAACTTTTAATTAAAATGTTAAATATCAAAAAAATTTGTACCTGCCATATAAGAAAATCACTGAGACGAATTTCCCCAGAAGTACGAATAAGTAAATCAGGATTTGGAGAATTATAAGTGTACAAACACTTAGAAATAAGGTCTTCGTTAATATCTTCTGGTAAAATATCAGCATCTCTGATACCTTTTAATATATCTTTAATAGCATATGTCATTTCATCTCTTGCTAAACAAATAATAAGTAACAACGTTGTAAAAGCAAATTATCAAACGACTTATTTCTAACATATACTTACAAGTATAAGCAAAAGCAATATTAAGGAATGCTTTACTATTATTTTTGGTAATGATTATAGCTTCAGCCATTAATTTACGTAGATCCTCTGGAACTAATTCTAAATTTCCTATAATACGCACACATACACCATTTTCCATCAATTTTTGTCTAAAGATAAACAAAATATTTCTATATTACATTTGGCTTCCTTAATAATTTCAATGGAGTAATATAAGATCTTAGTGGTATAAGAAATATTATATAAAAAAAAGAACAATTACTTCTCATTTATCAAACTCTGGAATTTTTGTCTAGCAAGTTCCATAAGCCCGTCGACTTCTTCCTTAGACCTTTTAAAATTTTCTATACTAAATGCATAAACTGTTACTTCTACAACACCAAGGTCTAAGCACCACTGTAGAGTTTCTGTTAATTTGTGAAACCTAATATTTACAGAAAAATGCCGTTAATAATTTTATCAATACGGTATATAATTAAACATCTTTGTTTTTTACATATATATATATATATACGTACCCTTGTGTATGTCCACCTATTTTTTCAATATGTTTTTTGTTCGCATATCTTCTATTCCCGTCCATAATAAATGCTACATGTTTAGGAATTTCACCACTTTTTAAAATTTTTACAATTAAGTAATGGAAACAATTTAATGTACTTTCTCTTATCCACGACATGGTATATATTTTATGAGTCTTAAAAATAAAAAATGTTATTATATTTATCTTTATAAATAAATAAATTTTTATTAAATAAAACTTATTAAATAAAAAAGAATTATTTTTTTCATGCAAGTAGTACCTGAATAAATTTATGTGAAGTACTAAGATAGTTGACACAATTGGAAGAAGCTTATAAAGACTATATTGTTTATCTAAAACGTTTTTTAAAAACGCAAGTTCATTTTTGATAAATTAGTTCAATATCAACTTTTAAAAGACTATTATTATATACAGTTTTGCACCTTTTTTTTATCAATGCCGCCATATATACCGATAGAAAAACTAATTACTTTCACGTGATCACTCGTACTTAAAAATTTATCATGTAAGTTATCAAATATTCTATCAAATATTCTATCAAGTGCTACAATACACTTTTAAATCATATTTGTACACTTTATTTTATCCAATCGACACATCCTCGATTAATTTTTTCATGAGTTGGTTAAATACTTGCATCATCTTAGAATATAAAAACATTTTGAATATACAAAACGTTTGACTATTGATTTATTTTGATATTTCATATAATATAGCATTTATTCTATATGAATTTATTCTATAACATTTTGATTATTGTAAAGAACCTTTACAAATGATCACGCGCAACCTGTACGATTTCGAGGTTGTTTCAAGTTTCGCAGCGACCATCTTGAATATCTATCTCGTGATTATTTTTTTCTTTCTTTTATTCCTGTTTTTACATACCGTAACTGTTAAACGTATAAAGATGATATATGTTTTTTACCGGATTAGTATTGAATTATAATTAAAATGAATTGTAATTATAATTCTACATTAAAACTTACTGTTGTACGATATTAAAGAGGTTAAATATATGTACTTTTAATTCTCTGATAAACACTATGTAATAGTATAATATAATATCAATTATCTATTTATTTTTTTTTCATTTACGTAATAAAGAGGATTGCAATCATTGATAATATGATAATTTCTAAAAAAAAGAAAAAATAAGATTATAATGACCATACATATTTTATTCAAATTCTTACAAGAGTATAATTTATTTCTTTTTAATGAATTTTAAGTAGATAAATGGTAATCTATATGTATGATTATGATTATTAATACAAGTAATTATAAAATTTTTCATTCTTCTACTATCTTACATATGAGTTACAAACGTTGTATATATAGTTATATATTGTGTAAACATATATATAGATATAATTCTAACCTAAACAAAATTTTATTTAATAAATATGATAAATGTAAAATGAATTACAATACAGGCGCTAAA